TTTTCCACAACAGGAGTAATATACAAGCTTTCAAAAAAATTCATAGTCAGAGGTGGCAATTGTTTTAAATATTATCTTCACTAAGTATTTTACTATTAAAAGGTAAAATAGTACTATTTGTGGTAGCCGTCAGTTACACAGTAAATATACCTGCTAGGTACTATAAATTGCTATTTAGCACCACCACACCCTTTTATAGTAATTTTGCTCACAGAGAGTTTGAACATTACACATGCTGCTGCTAAGTCTTAAAACATTCAGTTTATGAAAAAAGACACCACTGTAACCTGGGACTCTCATGAATCCGAGACCCAAAATTTAACTTAGTTTCTATCATCTGTTAATAGGATTTGTGCTTTTATTTCCTCCCTCCCATTTTTGTTTGCTATTCCCATCTCCACTCTCAAATGCTTAGTACTTTTTTATTTTTATTTTTTAAAAAGAGACAGTGCCAACAACCTTGCAACAAGCTACTGACCCCAAGCAAATTTAGTTTTCCAGCATCAAATTTTATTATAAATAACAATGTTTTTAAATTCTAAAAATGTTCTGGTAGTACTGCTCTTTTACCTTCTTTCCAACACACATCTCCCACACACAACTCTGCCCCTCCCTCTTACTTTCCTGGCATGTCTTAAGTTACACCTAAATATAATCAAGACAAAAAGTTATTTGGCTTTTTGGAGAAGGCCTATTCCCCCCCCCTAAAAAAAAAAAAAGAGAACAGGAACAGAAAATATTCTTATCAGATTTATAAAACTACTTGCAAAGCAGGTTTCACAAAAATAAAATCTCATCTATAGGGGGATTCGTGAAGCTCTATAAAAGCTGGGGAATCGTACTGTCTAGTATAAAGCGCTATGAGTCTAACAGAAGAGCAGTCCTATAATGAAGACCTGATAGTTACTCCCCTGTCAAAGCTAGAACAAGCTTTCCATTATAAGCTTCATTTTTTAAATTCTCCTAAGCTTCCTTACCCAAAGTGTTTCATGAATGTCTTCAGACCCAGTGAGATTCTCCCCCTTGCCAATTACCCCAAACTTGAGGCTAATTAGACATCGCAAGTCTGGCAAATGGGAGGTCTTTTCATCTTAAGAAATGAGAAAAACTTCTCTTACTATGTCAGCTCAAAAATGGCTTGGTCTAGAAATCTGAAGTTCTGTTCTGTTACCTGCAATGAGAACTAGCGTCCAAGTATTTTTCAAATAGTTGGGAAGTCAATTTTGGAGAAAGTCACTCACTGTAAAACTCCCAAAACTTTTCAAAACTGTTAAGTCCTGACAGAGGTTATGAACTCCTCTGTTTAAACTTTTGTTAACAAGACAGCTTCTAGCTCTTTGTGTTAAAGATACATTGAAAAGGAACACTGATTACTACGGTTGGCAGTTCACCAAGTTAATCTTTCCCTCAAAGTCATTCAGTTATTCATGGGCCTCCTGTACCATCCTCCTCCACATCCAGGAAGGAAAACATGTCAGCCATCAGAGCTGCCCGGTAGAGTTGCTGATACACCTGTTTAAAGTGTCTTACAGTTTTAGTCAATGAAGTGGAGAGTTTCTACAGTTTTACCACTTATCAATCAGTTGGGTAAGAAGGTGAGGATTATATGGCCAAAGTTACGTTTGCTTGCAGAATCTTAACTCTGCATTGTTTGGTCTCCTATTTATAAATATAACAATACTAATGTTTTACATAAACTATTTGCTTACAACTTCTACTCGGTTAGTGAAGTTGTCTGGAAGTAGTCATTAAAACCTTCAGAGAAAGTATACATACGGAGTACATATTTACATTTTTCTAATGACTACCCAAGAATGACCTATAAAGGTACTGTAACATTCCGTTCCTGTATGATGAACAAATATCAATGGTGGGCTTGCATACCAAGTCTCATTTGTATGAGAGTGAGTGAAAGTATTTTACAACTTGAAGCACTTAAGAATAAAAATGTGCAGCTACAGCATGATATTTTGCAGCTGCAAGATGTCAGGTCAGAGCTACAAACTCCAGTCTCTCTAATGATCTTTCTGGTATGAGGGGCCAGCTCCATTATAATTAAAGACAGCAATATAAACTTGGCAATTCTCCCTATGTAAACTAGAGCTAATCAGACGGTAACACAAATTCCTGGCACTCCAACAGTTGCGTCAAAGCATATTTGAAGGAACTCAAGTCTTTCTTCTTGAAATTTTCGCTTACGAATAACTGTCCCAGAACAGCAATCAGCTGTCAGAAGAACCACCAAATCTGGACCAGGCATATTCTCCCACACAAACTCACAAGTCAAGAATGTCTTCAGAACAAGCTGTTCATCTGGGTGACTAATATTTCTACAATCTTGCTCATTTAAAAAAAAATACATTTGTCTTTTAACACTTCATTTTCAACCACAGTAGTTACTGACACTGACTTAGGAGATGTCTACACTGCCATTAGAAGTGTGACAGCAGCACATGCAGACATCACCGAGCTAGCTAGTTCAGGTACCAAAAGCAAAGAAGCTGCACCAGCAGCAGATGGCAGCATGGGCTAGCTGTCCAAGTACATACCCAGGGTCCCAGGCACAGGTGTATAGCCCATGCTGCCATGGCTTCACTGCTACTGTTACTTAAACTAGCTAGATCAAAGCTAGCTTGGACAGATGTACACTTGCTGTATCTCTGTCACTGGGGCGGTACAGACAGCTGTGTTAAGGTTAGAGAGGAAGGGGTAAAGACACAATACATATCACATATAACTTTTTCACCCCCCAAAAAGAGTGTGTTAAAATCAGCCTCTAAATCAACATAGTAGATTTTATAAGGTTGAGGAAATCAACCCAGGGCCAGAACAGGTCTGTTGAACCAGACCCTAAGTTAATACACTACTAAGATTGCACAAGAATGTTTGATTTTTAGAAAAATTGCTCTCTCATCCCCACCTCCTTCCATTACTCCCTAATTGGAGGACCTAACGTGTTGCAATGCAGACTGTAGCAGTCCATCACTGGAGAAGAGTTTCCAGCTATTGCTAATATAATGTAACAAGGAATGCTGGAATCAAGCAGAAGATGAGAGGTATGTCTGATTGACCTAGACCAGACTCAAAACTGAATGACTTGTATGTCTGTGTCCATATGTATCCAATGCAAAATGGTTATTCCCACATCTGACTAGCTGATTCAAGAAGAATCTAATCATTTCTTTAAAATATAGCCTCAATCCACATAAAACTACAAATGAAGTCTCCTCTAGTACTGCACAATGCAGAGTTTAATGACTCTCAGCTATTCACTACCTTTTCAGTTCTGGAGCTACTCCAGGCCAAGGCCAAACTCTCTCATTTATGCAACCACATGGCAGCGGCGGGCGGGGGG